GGAGGAGGAGGAAGAGCAAGAGGAAGCCTTGCAGGGAGAGTGTGTGTGTGTGTGTCAGGTTTGTTGTTGTTGGCTCCTCCATGAACATTCATTAGCTCCAGAGATCAAGAAGGGGGGGGTTTCTCCTCCATTTCTTTCTCCATCCATCATCTTCCACATTGTTGTTCAACCATCTAACCTGGGATTTAATTGGTTTGGATCTCGTTAAGAAGCTGCTGATTCATGTGAAGACACAAAGACATTGTCTGTCTGTGCGTCCACATGGTCCCACTTCAATGACGAACTTCAGTCTCAAAGAATTAACTCGAATGTTAAATTTCTCTCAGTTGCACAACGTTGTACTAATTTAAATACTTGGTTAATTAACATTATATATTATTAAAATGTAGATAAGATGAACCCCCCACTGTCTCACTCTCCTCAGCCTCGTCCTCCACCCGCTGATAAAAGAGCAGGAGAGGACGACAGGAGGAGAAATGGAGCAGCAGCGTATGCAAATATTCTGTCATTTAGTGTGTGTGTGTGTGTGTGTGTCTGTGTGTGTGTGTGTGTGTGTGTGTCTGTGTGTGTGTGTGTTCTCCCTGAGCGGTTGATGTCACTCGGTATCTGGGCGGAGGAGCATCTCTGGTTTCCCGGCTCACTGAGAAAATAACGTCGGTACTGTAGCGCCTGCAGAGACTGCTGGGTCTTCAGGGCCCCCCCCCCCTCGCCCAGCTCATTATCAGCCCCTCTTCTCCTCCTCCTCTCTCCTCCTCCTCTCTCCTCCTCTCTATAAAGGATATGTAATGTTTCTCTCTGGCTCCTCTTCTCCACTTCTTCTTCCTCACACCTGTTCTTTCCTCAGTCCTCCTCGGTGAGTGTAGATTCATCACATTTTCCCTCACACCACCTCTCCGTCTTCTCACGGAGATTTTTCTGACACCTCAAACCCATCTCACCTCCGTTTTGCAGGATTTATGATCTTTTTTAAATCATGATTCATGCCGTGTCTAAAACAAGAGGCCGCTGCCTGACTGAGTGTGTGAGCGGCTTGTTTCAATAATGCATCAGCAGAGCACCGTCCACACATCATTCAGAGGACTCCACTCCTCCGTGTTCTAAGAGGCAGAAGGTTCATAAACGATGAATGAAATTATCTCTCTGTTTTGGTCTGTATCCGTTTTAATCCCCGTCCATACCAACACGCCTGGAAACACAAATCAAGTGACCACTCACAGTGAGCCGGAGGAAACAGCTGTGAGCAAGGACAGAAGCGAAGTGTGACAGGAGCCCAATCAGCAAAGTCGTTAAGAAGAACATCCAATCAGAGGTCGTCTCGTCCAGAATAAAACAGCAGAGTTTTCAAGCTTCTCCACTTCAGCTGCTCTCAGACTCGACGCCAGACGAAGCTGCAGTTGATTTTCAAACTTTCAAACAAGTCGTCCGACTGCTTCAAAACTACTGTTCTATAAATGTCTATTTTATTTGAAATGAATCCATCTAATCAAATATTGAAGGGACAGTTTCTCATTTCCAGTATTTTAACTATAAACTCTCCTAATGTCTCTTTTCTGTCCCAAAGAGCTGCAACGTGAAACTGGAGCCTCAGATGAAAGCACTGGGTTATTGGGTTATCGAACCGGGGGACAA